CCTCCCGGCCCTGGCCCCGCCCCTCCTCGGCGCTGTCCAGCGCGCGCCGCGTCCCCCCGCCGCCGCCTTTCAAAGCGCAATTTGTCTGGGCCGGGCCAATCCCGCGCTGTCCCCCCGGCGCAGCCAATGGCAACCGAGGCCGCCGAGAGCCGGCCAATGGGAGCCGCCACCTGCCGCCGCCCGGCCAATGGGAGCCGCGTATTCTAATGCGCCTGGGCTTTATCAGAGAAATGTTGGCTCGTCCCAAGCCCAAGTTGGGTCCGGAGCTGGAGCCACCTCAGCGAGGTCACCCGGGGCCTGGCTCTGCCCGTGGCCACCCACCCATCCAGGACGTGGCCCTTGGCCAGCCTGACAGGGCCCCAGGGCCACCCAGGGGCCACCCAGCTAGGGCGGGTGCCAGGGCCCAGTAGCCCCCAGGCCGGTGGAGATGGGCCGGCCATCACACCCTGGGGGAGCTGGGCTCTGAGGGCCTTCTCAACACCGGAGCCATGGATGCCAACCTGCCGGGCACCTTCCTGCTCAACGGCCCCTCGCTGGGCCCCTTCCCGGAGGCCAAGGCTCCTGTCTGCCAGTACTCGGTGCAGAGCTCCTTCTACAAGCTGGGCCCCCCCGGGCTCAGTGCTCAGCTGGCTGCCGGCACCCCCCACGGCATCTCTGACATCCTCAGCCGGCCCACAGCGACGCCGAACAGCGGCCTCCTCCCTGGCTACCCCCATGCAGGCGGATTTAACGGACTGAGCTCCCCGGGCGTCTATTATGGGCCCCAGGTGGGAGCCCTCCCCAAGGCCGGTGGCGAGTACCTGCCGCGGGGCCGGAGCTGCTGGGCGGAGGCGGCCCCAGAGTGGCGGGGTGGCCGGCAGTGCGGCGGCCGTAAGTACTGGGGGGCTGGGGTGGGTGGTGGGTGGGGGGGGCCAGAGGGCACCCCCAGAGCCCCGACCCATAGGCACCGGGGCAGGGACGTGGGCCAGCTGCCCAGGATGCTTGTCCTCGGCTGGTCACCCTGTGGGCTGCCCTAGGAGGGTGGGAATGGCCCCCGGTGCCAGAGCTGACAGACCTCAGCCTGCCACAGAGGTTTTGGCTCAAGAGCAGGGGCAGCTCCAATGGCAGAGATTAACTCTGCTTAGCCCCCAGATGAGCCACAGCTGGCAAGGACAGGCAGAGCCCACCGCCCTGTCCCTTCGGCAGCCTCTCTGGGGTTGGTTCCTGGCCCAGGTCAAGCAGAGACCTCTGGGGTGGCCGGCCCTGGGATTGCAGCGCTGCCTGCCTGGTGGAGAGCTGGCAGGGGGATTGCAGACCGGGTTACTGCCATCCCAGAGGGTGGGCAGGAGGGGTGCATGCACCGTCCTGTGGGGAGCCCCAGGAAGCTCCAGGTACAGCTGCTCAAATCCTGCAGCCACATCCCCTTTCCCTCTCTCCGGGTGATGTTCCTGGAGCAGATGGATCAGGCAGGGCAGCACGACTCCCGGCTGGGCTATGAGCCATCCAGTGCTGCCTGCCTTCCCGTTGTGCGTCCTGCAAGGTGTGGGGTGTAGGGGCACAGTGTTCCTGGTGCTGCATGGCTCTGGGGTCATGCACTGCTGCTGACAAGCCTTTCTCCTCAGCACTAGTTAGTGCTGTCACCGAGCAGGAGGTTCACAGCCCAGCTCTGGCTCTGTGGGGCAGGTGGAGAGGGCACCTCATCCCAGCAGGGATGAGACTGAAGCCTTGAGACCAAGATATGGTTTTAGTCTGGATGGGAGCGAGCGTGGAGGGACTCTGTGGGCGCTGAGGGCTCGTACCGTGTTTGGGAAGGCAAGAGCTGCCCTGAGCCATGCATGGCAGCGAGCCTGGGCGCTCACCTGCCTCCCTTCTCTCCCACAGCCCCAGCTCACCTGGCTGACAGCATCCATAAGAAGAAGCACACGCGCCCAACCTTCACGGGGCACCAGATTTTTGCGCTGGAGAAGACTTTTGAGCAGACCAAATACCTAGCAGGTCCAGAGAGAGCACGTCTGGCCTATTCCCTTGGCATGACAGAGTCACAGGTGAAGGTGAGTGTGGGTCCCTGCATGGCATGGGTGCGTGGCGTGGTGACTGCTAACCGAGCCGGTCCCGTGGGGCGGCAGGTCTGGTTCCAGAACCGACGGACCAAATGGAGGAAGAAGAGTGCCCTGGAGCCCTCCTCATCCTCACAGCGGGCGGGGGGCTCTGGTGGAGAGCGGGCAGCCTCTGAGACCGAAGATGATGAGTACAACAAGCCCCTGGACCCCGACTCGGATGATGAGAAGATCCGTCTGCTGCTGAGGAAGCACCGTGCGGCCTTCTCGGTGCTGGGCTTGGGCACGCACAGCGGCTAAGACCCTCTGGGCCACGGGGTGCCCAGCCTGGCCACCTGCTTCCTGCTGGGGGGTGACCCCCATGCAGACACCCAGCTGTGGAGATGGGGAGTCAGCTGCCCCCCCACCTGGTGGCTCCTGCCCAGGGAAGGTGGCTCACAGGGCTGGGAGCAGCACACATGGGCAGCGTCAGGCGTGGCCAAGCTGTCGGCATTGATGAAATAAAGGTCCCAGCCAAGTCCCACCACTTGCTTTGCGGGCGTGCGGTCCAGGGTGCCCCGTCAGGCTGGGCCAGAGAAGGGGCTGGGATGGCGCATGTGGGGCAGGGTCTGTGTGCAGGCGGGGGACGGGGCTGCTGCTGGAGTGCTGTGTGTGGGGCAGGAGGAGCCCACAGGAGCGGGGCAGTCCTGGGGACGGTTCCCAGGGTTTTTCCCACTTTGGGTGTGCACTGGCAGCAAGAGGTGCTGGTTCAAAAGTCACTCATTGGGGCCTCTTGTTGGAACCTATTAGCAGCAAATAAATATCATTTATCTTAACGGTGTGAGTGAGAGCCCATTCACCTGTCAGGGCTGCAGGATTGATGTAGTGTCAATAGCCCCAGTGTGTTTGTTGCCAACCTGGTGGGCCTCCCCGCCGCCGTGCTGCTCGCACACATGTGTGCACATGGGCCTGCACATCCCCTGTGCTGGCTCCCCACGGCTCAGCCCTGGCACGCCGAGTGTGGGTGCTGCATGGGGCTGTCCCAGCCACCCAGGATGCCAAAGGGGCTCCTGGGGGCACCTGCACGGTGCTGGGGGCCCCAGCAAGTGTGGCAGTTGTTCAGCTGAGACCCAACTAAGTGCCAGCCCGGTGTGAACAAACAGACCAGCCGTGTCCTGGGAGGAAATCGATTGGAGATAAGGTGCTGCCGGCCCATCGTGTACTGATTAGCAGCGTGGCATGGGCATGGAGGAGCTGCTGGGGGCTGCAACCCAAGCTGCCCTCCCCTGTGGTCACAGGCAGCATCTGGGGACAGGCTAGTGGCCAAGTCCACCCCTGGAGGTGGACAAAGACCCCCGAGCACCAGCCTTGTGGTAGGGAGCCGTGGTGTGGGGCTGCAGCCCCTCACCCTGCGACCCCTCTACCCGGGCCCCAGGGCCCACATTTGGCTTCAAGTTCTCTCCAGTCTGTCACCTTCTGCCACATGCTGGGCTGGGGGACTTTGCAAGGAGCCCAAATCAGTTGGCAGCACTTTCCCAGAGCTTAGGGAAGATTGATCCAGCCCCCCAGGGAGTGTGGGGACCTTAACGCCTCCCCCTCAGCCACACAGCCCCTCTGCTCCCTCGACAGGATGACTGCCACTGACGGACCCTTGGCCAGGGCAGTGCAGGGCTGGGGTGGAGGCTGTGTCCCCCGCGTCCCCAGGCTGGTGGCAGGGCTAGGACAGCCACGTCACCATCCGTGGGCAGAGCCAGCGCCCGGCAGGAGCCGGCTCTGCACGGCGGGAGAAGTGCGGGGCTGCTGGCGGGATATTTTTTTGACATTTTCTAAGCTGCCCAGCGTGGCTGACAATTTTTAATGTACTAACTGCCTGGTCCAGTGAGCTGATTAATTGGTGCTGTGGAAATCAATACAAAACAGAAAATTAAAACAATTTTAAAGTGATTAAGTAGTTTAACACCTGTCTGATGCCACGTCAGGGCTGGGAGACAAATAAAGCAGGTGGCAAAGGGCCTGCTGCAGCCGGGGAGAGTGACAAATCGCAGCCGCAGCCCGGCTGCTCCGAGCATCCCTGCAGCCGGACACATCCCCGAACGGTGCCCAGGACCCTCCGGTCCGTCCACTCTGCCCAGTGCTGCTCCCACTGCCCGGGCAAGCGGCACCGGCCACTCGCTGCTGCCGCAGGGCAGTCCTCGGCCAGCATGGGGGGCTTGGCCCCAGCCTGGCCCACGGCGAGCAGCGGCTCTCCCCCGCAAGTCCCACCTTGTGCCCCTGGGCAGCCTGGGGGGCTCGGCCAGGGCTGTGCCGAGCGCGGCCGGGCTCGGGGTCGGCTGCTCTGGGGGTGTGCGGGTGCGAGCGCGGGCAGGGCGGCCTGGCAGGCAGATGGATAGAGGCTCCGCTTCAATTCTGCATCCCTTTTCTCTCAGACAAACCCCGTCGGATTTTCATAAATCAAAGCGCCACACTGTTTAATAAAAATTTATTGACTTACAAGTGATTATTTATCAAAAGGCCATTAATAGCGGCTCCGGGAATGATGTGCTACTGGGTGGTGCGTGGAGACTAATAGCAAATCAATGCCAGCATCCGGGCAGAATGCATATGAGGGCCCCTGGCCCCAGCGGGCTGCATGGCTGCTGCAGCCGGAGCCCACAGCCCCTACCCCGCGGGCCGCCCAGCACTCCCCCCGGTTATTTATCGCTTACAAATGAAATGATCGATACTTTTAATCTAGAGCTAAATTTATTAACTTTCCCATCGGAGAGAGACATATTGACTGGGGGCATGGGAGGGGGAGCCAAGGAAAGATGGATGTGTGCCTCCTAACCTGTCCAGCCAGCTCCCTGCCTGTTGTGGACCATCCCTGCAGTGGGGGGGAGGTTGGGGGTCCCACAGAGAAGGGAGGTGGGCAGCCAGGAGAGGGCTCCTGCCCGTCACCATGGCTTCTATGACAAGAGCTGGGGGGGTGACCTGTGGGCAGAAAACTTGTGGGCGCCCGCAGATGGGTCTGAGTGCCTGGGGGTGCAGCCACAGGCATGAGAGTGTGTGTGGGGTCTGCCCTGGGAGAGGCTGAAGGCAATGTCTGTACCGCCAGAGGGGAGACCACGGCACCTTGAGGGTCTTAGTCCAAATGGACCCCCTGAGCACGGGAAAAGCTTTGCAAGCCTTGGGGCCGGAGCAGCAGCACTCAGCAAGGCAAAGCTGGGACTGGTTCACCCCGGCCAGGGGCTGCCATGGAGGTCAGCAGTAGCTTTTTGGGCAAACATGTGGCTCAGGCAGGGACTGGAGCAAGTACAGCTTCTGAAATGTCATAATTAAATGGTAAAGGCAAGTGCTGCAGGGTAACATCCACCTGCTTGGCAGCCAAAGTTTAATCATGCTATGGGTTAACTCCTGTAAGGCATCTGCCATACCCAGCCTTTCTTATACAACTTCAAGGTGATGGTCACAAACTGCATAAATGTAGCCACTGCTGACAATAAGGGTCATGCTTTCCTTTCCTTTTTTTTTTTTCTTTTAAGTGGCAAAGCAGCAGCCCCATCAGTTATCAGACACGGATGGAGGAATGGTGAGCTGGTGTTAAGAGCTCGTACCTAACAAACTGGGTAAAACAAGTAAACCAAAATGCTGGTGAACAGACCCCTAAGGCCATAACAAACTCCTAATGAGGGGAGAATCCTTGCCTGGGTAACTGATAGCTATTAGTAACGAGCAGTTGTTTTGTCAGTATGTATAAGCACAAGCAACACACTTCAGCCCTGTAGCTGTTGTTAACCATCTCCTGCTTCAGCTGCTTTTGGTTTGTTATTTTAGATGGAAAGGAAAAGGTACCAGACTTTGCTTCTTGTTCTTCCCCCTCCCCCACCCTGATCAATTGCCATAGCTGAAGTTGGGCAGAAGAGAATAGGAAATTGGGGTAACAGTGAAAAGCCTGGGGCCGTGAGGGTGTCCCCATCACCAAAGAGCAGCCAGGTGTTAACGGGGATCCCGTCTACCACATCCCTGGAAACCGAATGCAGTGTTTGTTTAGGTAACTGTCTGAGTGTGTGTGTTTATAAAGGATCACATTTCGGGCACTACAATAAGCAAAGGTAAATCAATTCAGTATAGAAATATTTCCTATAACTGCACGTTAACAGCTCACACGCCATTAAGTGTCGCACTGGGAAGTTTAGTTTATTTGTGTGTAAGTTGATGGTCCTGGGGTAGGAGAGAAATAGCACACCGTGAGGAAGAGCTGTGCTTACCTGGCTCGCACACGGTCTGGTCTGCACGCAGGTAAAGACCTGACTGACCCAAAAGAAGGGTTTTGAAGCAGGGAGGCCACATGGAACTGAACAATGTGAGTGTGTGCACTGTCTCTTCGGAAAGGTCAGGGAAGTTTCTGGAATCTCTCTCTCCTGCTTGCTTTTCTCTGTCTCTTTCTTAATAAAATGGTGTTTTACCCAAATGAAAACAAGCAGGAATTAAACTACCTTGAATCCCTCCTGGTAACCAGTGCAGGGAAATTCAGATTTAAGGACAGACACAGAAACGGTGCCCTCACCTGGGGGCAGCAGATGCCCTCCCCCAACAATCACCACTTTGGGCACAAAGGAGGCACTTCAGCATTGGCTTCTCCAGCATCAAAGCAAATGCAAAGAGGCTTCTGCAGGTGAAACAGCATCTGCTTATCAGAGCCAGCAGAGAAACCAATGGAAGTGCTGAAGCTTGTAGGAGCATAACGAAAATTGGAAAGTACAAGGGATGGAAGCTCAAATGCAAATTGTTTTACTGAGTAATACACTTGCAGAGCTGAAGGGGAAGGCGGTACCACTGCCAGGACAAGATTTCCATCTCCTTGAAATGAGCTGAGATTATGTATGTGCATGTTGGTCCGTAACAGGATCAGGTCCCACCACTGTCCTCAGGAGACGTTTGAAAGGGGATCTCCTGCTCAGCCACAGAGACTCAGGGCTCTCCCACCCACCCTGGGCTCTCACCACGGCACATACGGATTGCCCAAGAGCCACCCCAGTGACAACTGCACCCCCAGTTCCAGGGACAGAGACAGGCTGCTGAGGAAGAACCCCAGCAGAGGCTGTTATTTGTGTGCTGGAGAGCAATGGTCTGGGTCAGGCTACAACAGGAGGGTGGCCAAAGGAAAAGGAAAGATTTCTCCTTTTGGAAGTAAAGCTTGAGACGGTCTGAGAGGCCACATGCTGCTCCTGAGAGGTTTATGCTGCAGATGTGAGAGGCACAGGCTCACGAAGACTCCCTCGGTTGTCAAGGCAGCTAATTTCAGTGCAGCTCACCCGTTTCTGTGCCGTGGGAGACTTGTGACTGACACACATGCACATCAACACACCAGTCCTCCCCCTGGGCCTGTAAACACCATATGGAAGCACATGACACCATAAGTGTTTCATTTAATATTGCCCCTGCATGGGGCTTCACTGTAACAGTAACAAGAAGGCATCTTTGCCAGGAGCTGCTCGGG